CTGTGAGCTGTGTTGTGACTCCCCAGCTGACAGCTTTACAACAAACATATTAAAAGCTCCCGGCACTGGGGCTCCTAGATGTGGCACAGCCCAGAAGAAAAACCTCTCCTGGTCTTTCTTCAGTCCAAATCCTTCTCCCAACCCCTCCTCTCCCATGGGACTTCTCCAGGGCCATTAAATGCCCTGAGTACAAGGGGCTGAGAATTTTTTTCACAAGCCTTTTTGAGGTGATTGGAAAAAAGCTGCCGAGCAAGAGAGCCTGAGACATTCCAGGCTGTGGGCCCCAGAGGACCTGGCTCCTCCCTCATGTGGGAACCTGGGAACTCCAGAAAGAGCAGGTACAGGGAAAAGCATCTAGCTCCTCAGCCCTGCCTTTGAAGACAGGTGGCCCTCAGTGAAGGATTATGTGGGCATTTGATCCTGAGTGCTATGATGTACTGGGTGTTGTGTTCATCCTCCCAACAACCCTGAGAGATGGGAGCTGCGTTATGCCCACTTTACAGATTTGGAAACTGAGGCTTAAAGTAACAGGACATGTTCAAGTCCATAGAGCTAGGAAGTGAAGGACCTGAGATTTGAATCCAAGTCTGCCAGCCTCCAAACATTGCTCTTAACAATACTGACTGCCTCCCAACACACCAGCCTGCCTTTTCTCAGCGCTCCACCAGGATGGCAGAAACCTAGGAAGCGGGGAGAGCCCAGTGCAAACCAAAATCGAATGAGCTTGCTCTCCGGGGATGGCCTTGCTTGTCCAGCTTGTCTTTCCTACCATCTGATCCCAACCCACAGTGCCCTCCACTTCATCTTTTTGCTTCACAGACCAAAGCTACCCTTCCCTCCCTCCTGTCTGCAACCAGCAGACAAAAAGCAAGTCCCCCCACCACCAACAACCAAAGCGGAGAAAACAGAGGAGAGAGACACAGGAACAGTTCTTTATTGTACATCAGAGAAATAGCCCTGTGTGCTGGTTAAAGTTGCAACATACAGAATATCGAATTAAGAAAAGAGGGAACAGGGATGGGAAGGGAAGAAACCTCTTGAGGTCCAAAGTTGCAAACAAAAAATGGTAAAAGATTTCCTCACGCAAGAGGCATTTTTGCAAATACCATGCAAAACAGGCAGCTGGTGTGCCTTAAGAGAACCCCTATAAATAACAGAAAAGACACTCCAAGCATTCCTTTACGTGGACTCAGAGCACAGGAAAAGAAACCAAAATGCCTTTTGGCATTTCAAGATATTTGGCACTCTTGTGATTACATTTTTTACAGTCCATTAAAGAGAATAAACTGACACAATATTAGAGAAAAAAACAGGCTGCTCACACAACAGACTGCAGGGAGAGGTTTAGAAAAAGCTCAAGCAGTTTTTTCTGTGTTTTTTTTTTATGTTGTTGTGTTTTTTTTTCCTGACATATAAAATGTGTCCATTTGCATTAACTTGGGCAAATAGCTTGCAGCAACAAAGAAACACAAGCTTTACAATTCATTTTAAAATAAAACAAGGATTCTTTCTCTGTTTCATCCCTTAGAAAAGTTTTCTTATTTTAAAACACATTCCTGATAACTTCAAAAGATGACCAAAATAAAACAGAGTATCTATAGATCATTTTCTGATTTTTCTTTGTACATCCAAGGATAACATAAAAAAATAAAATCGAACAGCATTTCACATCCAAGTGCACAGAATAATTTTTGCAAGATTAAATAATGTAAACATTGGGAACAGCCAAATCAGCAAAGAATGCCAACACCTCAAAACACCCGGTGTTGCCGCTTCATTATTTAAGTGGTTCAAAATCCAGATCTATAATTGCGCAATATTCACTGTATATAAAAAGAAATTGATATTAATTTTAACAAATAGCTGCAACTGAGACTTCTTTATTTCTTTATATGTGTGTACATAGTGATTTTGTTATTTTTATTTTTTTTTTTAATTTTTATTTTTTTTTGCAGAGGAGCCCAGAGCCTTCTCCTCCTCCTCCTTCTCACGCCTCATCTGTCTCCCGGCCTGACACGAGATACAGGTTGTTGATTTCATCGTGGGTAGCAAGCTAGCAATAAATTTCAAAGTGCTTTCTCTTCCCATGCTCTTTTTGCCAATAACTGTTAATCGCCGTTCTTATTCTCTCCCTTAACTCATTGTCTTTGGGGGAGTTAGACACCAGGAGGTGCCTTGTCTGTCATATTTTTCAGCACGTCATCAATCCTATCATCTTCAATAACAACTGCAAAAAAGGGGGAGAAAAGGAGAAGTGAGCGCGCTCGGGCCTCGCCAGGGGTCTCCAACGTTTCTCGTTCCGCCCGGGAGCCGGGACAAGATGAAGGGAGGGCGGAGGAGGGCTCCTTCCTGGCTGACACAGCCCTATCCTCTTCGGCCTCTGCTAAAGGTCCCTTGGCGGCTTTTCTATGAACCACCCCCCACACGCACGCGCACACACACACACACACACACACACCCTGGCTATGTCCCAGCTGGGTTCTGAGGAAAAGCAGCAGACCGGGAGCAAATCCCACTGCCCCGACCGCGTCCTCACCACTCACTCAATCACCCATCCCAGGCGCTTTTATTTAGAAAGGAAGACCCCGGGCCGAAGAGCGAGGGGCAGGAGGAGCCGAGGTCTCCGGGTCTGGGACCTTCGGATCGCTCCGAGCGCGGAGCGGGCGGCCAAGGCTGGGTGCGGGGGTGCGGCGGTGCGGGGAGGGGGAGGGGACGCCCGGGGCCGGTTCCCACGGCGCGCAGCCGGCGGAAGGATCGGGCCTCGCTTGGGCCGGCGCCCCGCTCCTGCACCGACTCGGCCTCTCCGCGCTCCCCGCTGCTGCAGAGGTCAAAGCCTCCCTTCACTCCCTGCCCGGGGCTTGCCCGCCTCTCCGCCTCTGCGGGTCGCCGTGTCCTCCGCCTCTCTCGCCATCTCGACCTAACCTCGCCTTCTTCAATCCCTCCATCAGTCTCTCGGCGCGACGGTCACCTGTCGAGGTCTCTGGGTCTCCCCGCGTGCCCGGGGTGTCCGTCGCTCTCATTGTCTCAGCTGCTTCTCTGCCCTCCCCAGGCTTGCGCGCCCGGCTCCCTCTCCCGAGCTGTGTCTCGGCCTCTGCCGATCCCGGTATCACCCCCACACCCCACCCGCCTCCCTCCCTGTCTCTGCGTCTGTCTCGGTCGGTCTCCCTCGTTGTCCCCGCGCCCCTGGAGCTCCTCTCCGAGGCTCTCCGCCTCCCAGTCCCTCCGGGTCTTTTCCAGCTCTGGCACCGAGCGCCCAGGCAAATCCCCTTCCCCTGCCAAGTGACAATGAAAACCCTTGCGACCCGAAAGCTCCTAGCCTTCCCAGTAGGAATGGGGGTCCTGCCTCCTCAGTCCCCCACACCATCCGTCCCTTGGTGACTCGTGGGACACTCCCCTCGGGGTTGTACAGCGAGTGCAGCTGCAACTACAATGCGCAAAACGGGGGGCGGGGGAGCGTAGAAATAAAAAAGCAAACTTTGGCGCGGGTGGGGTTCGACTAAAACCTTTCAGCCCCCGCTGCAGTTAGAAGCCGCCACGCCCCCTGAGTGACCCCAACGGGGATCGGGCTGAGGGGGAGGGATTCCCGAGGCCAGCTCCAGCCGTACCCGCAGTGCGGGATCCCCCCCCCAGTTCTGAGCGATGGGATTCCACTGGGTCGGAACAGGGGTGCGGGAGACCCCCACAAACCTACGCCAGGCCTCAGTGACCGAGAAAAAGGGGGTGTCCGGGGAGGAGGCCGCGAACTCACCCCGCTTGCTCCGGCCGATCTGGCCCAGCTTGGGCGGCCGCTTGTTCTGCCCGGCGCCGAAGAAGTTGTTGGTGTCCTGCAAGCGGCAGGAGAAGATCTGGCCCACGTCGCCGCCGTCGCCGTAGGGGCTCAGCTTCTCGTCGCCGTAGGGCAGCACCTCCGACATGGTCGCGTCCGGGGGCTCCGCGGCGGCGCCTCCTCCTCCCGCGTCCCCGCCCGCGGCGGACAGGGTCAGCGGCGCTGGGGCCGGGGGCGGCCGGCCGGGGACGGCCCGCGGGGCTGCGGCGGCGGTGGCGCCGGCGAGAGGCGGGGAAACGCCGCCGGGAGAGGAGCGCGCAGCCTGCCCGAGCGGCCCGGCGAGCGCCCGCAGCTGCGCCGCGCTGCGCTCCGGCTCCGCGCGCGAGTGACTGCTGCTCTGGCGGAGGCGAGCGGGACTCACATCCTCGGCGCTCTCCGGAGCTGGGCGGGGGCCGGGCCGGGCGGGGCCGAGAGCGGGGAGGAGGAGGAGGAGGTCCCCGAGCGCCCAGGGGGCGAGGGGCCGAGGAGGGCGCGCCTCCGGGGGCCGGCGGGCCGGTCCTGCGGCGGGTGCTGGCGGAGCCGGCGCGGGTTCAGGGAGGCGGACTGGGGAGCTGCGAGCTGCCGCGCGGCCAGCGGCGGGGAGGTGG